CTCAACTAATTATATTGAGAAGTAATGAGACAAGGAGAGTAACCCTGTAATTCAGTTATCTTTCTGGATAGAAATGACTTAAGGGCTTTTTTTAAATTGTAGGAATTAAATTCTCAGAAAAGGCTGGAGAGATGGCTCAGCAGTTAAGAGCACTGGTTACACTTCCAGAAGATCCAGGTTCAATTCCCAGCACCCACACAGTCAAAAACAATTGGTAAACCAAGGAAATCCTCCATGGTGGGAAAGCCCACCATGATGAAGGCCCCCAAGAGGAATGGAAAAGCAACACAATGTGTTTTTGATCCCTGGCGGGAAGGCACTGCAATCTAAGACACATGGTAGTCACTAATGATAGGTGTTTAGAATGGCTGCAGAATGAATACAAGAGTGGACATGGAGCTGGTGACAGGACCCACACAGACCAGTTCTCTGGGTTCTTTCTTCCAATTGGAAGACAAGACATTAATTGTCCATGCCAGCTAGTGAGATACTGCCCAGGACACAACAAAAGCCACATTACGACCATGGCTTATAAATGCAGTGGGAAGCTCTTGTCAGACCATGTTCTCAGCACCATGGGACAGATTCTACCTGCAGGAAGCTGTCTTGACAGCAAAGGAACTCGTTCTTCTTCATGATGGCCTCAGTGGTCAAGGTGAGCTCGTTCTTACTGAGAGCAGGTTCACTCTGACATGGATATACTGCCTGAATACAAAAAGGACATGGCGTTACATGTGCCTGGTGAGGGGGGAGGGAGAGTACTAGGCAGAGGAATTTACCAGATATAACAACCTGTGGCTCTCTTCGCTAACAAACTCTAGATCTTCTTGTCCTGTGAAAATGAAAACCAGATAAACTGATACTCTGCCTTTTGTTAGTTTGTGTGAGACAGTCTCAGGTAGCTCAGGCTTGCCTCAAGCTCACTATGTAGAGAAAGTAGGCCTGATCCTCTTCCCTCACAAGGGACAGGATTACAGGACTGCACTATCATCCCAGTTAGGAATTCTCAGCTTATTCAAGGAGTTCTACTCTAACTAGTGAGTATAGATCTCCTACTTTCCAACTCAACTCCAGCCCAGAATTGTATTAAAAATGTACATTGTTGTAGCCAGGCCTGGTGGTGCACTCTGTCACCTCAGCTACTTAGAATGCCCAGGCATGTAGATCACTTGCTCAAAGCTTGCCTGTCTGCAGGATAAATTCAAGGCCAGTTGAGCAAGACCTTACCTGAAAATAAAAAAAGTAAAAGAGTAACAAAGGACCAAGGTGTTTTTCATAGTAGAGTCCTTGCCCAGCATACTCTAGGCTTAGGCTATACAACTGCAGCACTTCAAACACCAGCCAGACAACTAAACATTTCCAGAGGGGAAGTGTATTAATACTCCTCAAGCTCATGGGGTTTCCTCAAAGTTTTAGTGGTTTCTGACCCATTCTCAAATGGGGCTTCCCAATACTAGAAACAACTGAAAGAAACACCTCAGTGGAACCACCTCCTGCTGCTAGAAGAGCTGGGTCAAAAGGCCTTAAACTGAAATCCAGATGAATCTTTTCTAATTACTCTTCAAAAAGAGTGGTTCCGACTCATATTCCTGGCTCTGGAGTATGAGATGAACCTTCTGCCCCACACCTTGTCTTTACAAAGCTTGTCTCTAGTCCACTCCGCTCAGAGAAAAGCCAGAGCCTTGTCCATTAACATCTGATATGAACTAACAATAGGTTAACGGATGAAAACAGACAGAGTAACTAATAGTAGCAAGCTACTAATCTAGTAGTGAGGAAGAGATGATTAAGTGGGAAGTGTGGTACTACAAACAGTACCAACAACACCTATGACAAAGCCCCATAGAAGACTGTACCCCTCAACAGAGAGCAGCATCTCACTTTGATGTTGTCCAGAACCCTTTTAAACTCCAGAGGCTCATCTTTGCCCACCATGGCGGCAGTGTCTAAGCCATCTCCTCCATAGATGAACTGGATGATGTCACCAGTGGAGCTCCGCACTGTCAGGTCATACTGTGAGCAGAGGTCTTCCAGGGATTTGACCAGCCTTCTCTACAGGAAAGGAAGGAAGCTCAGCTTCGGGGTCGGGGGAAGGTGGGTGAAGGGGTTGGGAGGGCAGGGGAGGGGAGGATGGGGGACGATGATGACAACTCCTTCATAGCGCATAATCAGACTTGCTATTCAAAATTTTAAGGTTATAGGTCACTGATTTATTTGTTTGCTTTCTTGTGTGCTAGGTAAGCCTTCTGTCAATAAACTACATCCCCAGACCTAGTTTACAGGTACTTTAATTACATCAACAGCACCTTATTAGACATCTCTTAAAAACTTTCTTTCCTTTCTT